GGAGACGTTTTTGTCTTTATGTGGAATTTTGCCTTTTTGTTTCCAGTTTTGAAAGCTGTATCTTAAGATGCCCAGAGCTGATTTGGTACTTCAGTGCTAATCTGTACTCCCAGAGATGTGCCCTGGGCTGGAATATCACGTAAGAGCACTCCCTTCAGAATCCTTCCGCACAGCTCAGGCTGTTCAGTTCACATTGCCACGTTACACGTGCTTCTATCTGTTCATATTTCCAACGCCTTAAAGACATGGGCTCTTTTATCTTTAAGAGATAATACAACAGCACACTCGTGGTGTGCCAGCACAGCTCACTCTCTGGAGTGTCTAAAAGGAATAAAAGGGTATGGGTAAAGCACATTTACATGGCAGGGGGTTGAAACTGGATCATCTTTAAGGTCCCTTGAACCCAACCCCCTCTGCGTTTCTATGATACGGTGTGATCCCGGTTACAGTTGACTCCTTGGTGCTTTGTTGTGTTCCCTGTGCTGAATCCAGCGCGGTTCCCGTAGGTGGTGGTTGCCGTACGGAGCGGTTGTGTTGGTGTCTGCTGAAACCTGAGTGTGCCTCGGATGTTGCACGTCTTTACAGGAGAAAAGAGCTGCTGGCCTCGCAGGAGGCTGTGGCAGGGCCACCCCAGCACTGGGTGTTCTGCCCTCGTGAGCAGGCAGAAGCTGAGGAGGGACGTGCCAAAGAGCAGCAAGGAGAGGTGGACTGGGAGCGAGCTGGTCCTCGCAGGGTATCCGGAGCTCTGGGTGGACACTGCCTTGGGTTGAACTCTAGTGATTGTGCTCGTTCCTTGGAAACAGCTTCGGCTTTCCTCGGTGTGGGGGGAAAGAGCAGGGAGGAGTTTGGGTATAAACACATACCCAGGCACATACCACACGGTCACGTGGAGGGGAAGGCACAAACCAACCAAACCAGCAAAGCAGTTGTGCTGCAAAAGAGGTTATCCAGAAAAACGTTCCTTCAGAGCTGGTGACAGCACGTTTCCGTTCAAGAGACTTCGTGGTCACTGGCTTTTTAGTAACACCAGCATCTCTCTTCTAACACAGAGCGAGCACTTTGGCTTTTTGCTGTTTTCACCTCATTTATGACTGACAGAATGGTGGATCTTCAGTCTCTCCACAGAAGGAACATCTTCATTTGGTGTTTCTGTTTCACACTACATCTCTGCACTGGCTTCTCTTGTGCATACCCTAAAAACTGCTCTGTTCCTGTTCCTGCTGGTCTCTGCTGACCTCCCAGGCTCTGCCCCAGCCTCTCTTCCTCAGAAACACCATGATGTGTGTCTCTCCCTTTCCCTGCTCATGCCTCACGTTTTCCCTGCTGTGCTCACCAGACAGCAGGGACTTTCACCTGCCCTCCCTCCTGTACTCACTGCTGTATTGCCTGGAAACTGCTCTGGGATGGGCACGATACCTCTGTGTGCTCTGGCTCTTGTTTACACACACAGGCATGTTACAGAGGTGACTTGCACTGACATTTATGTCACTCAGAGATTATCTGAGCCCTGAGCTCTGTGTAACCGAGGCCGCAGCCACGGGTGCTGCGGTGCAGGGGGTGCTGCCAGTCCAGGAGGGAGCTGTTGTTCAGCACACAGCATGTGACCGCCCTGTCTGTGGTAAATACACTGCGAGGAGCAAGCACATGAGCTGCTCGTTGCCACATCTCCTCTGTTGCTTAACAGTGACACTGGAAATGCTTACTGCAGAAGGCTAAACAAAGCTGCCTTCTGGGGCCTCAGATATGCTCAATAAATGAACAAATACACTTTTGGCAGAAAGTCCCCGGGATTATTTTGGTTGGCTGCCCCCTCTGTTGAACAGGAAGAACTAACCGTACCCCCACCCCAGGCTCCGCAGGTGCCGGAGCACACTCGGTGTGCTCCCCAGCCCTGTGGGGGCTTCCAGCTCGCTGGCAAAAGCCCCTCTGCCCTCTGGCATTCCAGCGTGTTCATTAGCAGAGGTGTCAGCGTTGGTGCTTGTGCTCTTGTGCTGCACCAGCACACTGGGGAGGCTCAGCAGCAGAGCTTGCATGTGTCTTATCCACAAGCTCTTGGTTGATTGTGGGTCTGTTTTCAATTGTGCCAAGCAGGTTCCTGGGTGGAACTGCACTTCAGCAGCAATGGCAATGGGAGCACCGTCAGTGCAGGGAGCCAGGAGCAAGTGCCAGCCTCCATTTCCATTCACAACGGTGACATGGAGAAGATACTCCTTGATGCTCAACACGAATCTGGAAGGAGCAGCTCGAGAGAGAGCTCACACTGTGACAGGTAACCAGAGTGCTCCACTGTAAGCGAAGTGAAGGTCACTACTACACAGAGCCATTTTTATGCACAAGAGGCAGACAGAGAAATGCTGACATACATGTGTGTATTTCCATGTGCACATGCAGAGGAAGAGGTAGGAAATCTTTGTATTTAAAAGGTTGGTATTTAAATACTAGTGTTAATTCTTGGAGAAAGCCTGTCATTAAACTAGAAGGAAGTTACAGGGGAGAGGACTCTGAGGCTTCTCACACCTCATGAAGATGCCACCTTGGGGTTTTGCTGCACCCCCATGAAGATCTCCAGCACTGAACTTCAGTGGGCGTGCTGCTGCTGTACAGCCAGCAGCCGTGTTCTAGTAAATGACATATTCAGAGCAGTGGGAAGCTGCTCTTCTAAAGGATCAGGCCTTGTGCAGGCAGTGTCAGAGCTGTTCTTAAGAGCATGGAGCGCTGCTCACCTGCTGCCTGGAGCAGGACTGTCAGAGCAGGGGTAAAGAGCAGCCTGTGTTTTGTGATGAGGAACATCACCTAATAGCTCCTATGTACTCGCTGAAGAGTTGTGTCTATACTGTAAACCATATCTACGTTATAAAACATAACATGAGCACAACAGAACAAACCAACTTACTCTGGTGCAAGATGACAGTCAGTGTTATTCATTACTGGATTCTGGTGAATTCTTCACCCTAAAGTTTGTTATGTAAAATAGGGGGAGGGGGAGTCTACAGGACTCAGAATAGACAGTGGGATGCACAACTCCCTGCTCTTACCTGGCCAGTCTGAATTCAGACCAAACCCAATCTCCTTCATCATTTGCTGCCTATTGTTATTAGTTAGTAACCCAAGTGAGATCCTCCAGCCCCTGGGCATCTCTGCACTGCTGAGAACCAGCTCTGTGCAGCAGCTTCCTGGCAGAGTGCTAGAGACTCAAAGATGAGTTGCATACAGTGGCTGGATTATGTCCCCATTGACTGATGAACCTCTCGGGTTCTGGTCAGGGCACTGGAGCTCCTTGAGAACTGCACGTGATGAGCTTTCAGTGCATAAACTGTTACCAACAGTTAATGAGTTTTCTTCCTTGTCCTTCCTTTCCTGAAGCCCTCCTCGTTCCCAGACACCCCAGGACAGCCACAGAGCTTTGGAAATAGAGAGTCACAGCAGTGGAGAAAAGAACAGCTTTCAGGTAAACACCTCGTCCTGCTTTGGGAGGGTTCCTTACTCTTGTTGTTTGAAACCCAGCATTAGGCAGTAAGAGGTGAGGCTGCTAATGCAGAGATTAAATAATGTAGTAACTTAGAGTAATCTGTGCAGAATCAGGCCTTGTGCACTTGTATCTGACGTGCACGGGTTATGTTTTTACCTGTAACTGGGGTTTTCCAGAAGGACTTAAGTGCCCTCCTGTGTGGTGGAGTGGAGGTTACTCTGCTCTGCTCACTGGTGGATGGTGGTGTGAGTGCAGCAGATTGAGGGACAGCTGAGTGTGTCCCTCACACATTGAGGTGTGTGGGAAACGCATCACTAGGGTGGCTGCAGGCAGTGTTCTCTAGTGAGCATCAGCACTTCAGAAGCTTCCTCCTCCCCTCTGACTCTTCCTTCTTCTTTCATTTTAGCACGTTTACGTGCCTGCAAAGCAAATCAGTAAATGTGTTTGAGAAGAGGCAGGGAAGAGGATGTACGTTAACCCTGGTTCCTCAATACCTACCTTACTGCATGATGACAGGCTAAAATCTTAAGTTTTCACTGTAATTAATCAGCTCTAATATGCCAAAACTTAGGATTTTGAGGAGTGAAGTATTACAAGTGAGCAGATGCCTGTGCTCTTCCAAAGCCCTGCTGTACTGTCTTGTGTCTCTGTCCCTGCACTGGTATGTACAGAGAGAGTATTTTCTCAGTAAACTGAAGTATGTTCAGTGCCTGTGACCGATTCCCACAGGGTTAGCAGTCAGCAACTGGGAATCGGGATTGTGTTTCACTTGGAGCCTCTGCATGACAAGAAATAGCAGCGTGTGATAACCTGGCAAACGTTACCAGCCCCGAGTGCCTCTTGCTCCAGTGGGCAGTGCTATTTCTTTAGTTCTAGTAAGAACTCAGGACTCTCACATCTGAGTCTGAACAAGTAAAGCTTTCTTCCCTCCCCACCCTTTTTCCATTGCTGTTGTGTCATCTGAAGCTGAGCGTACACTGTGTGTTGTCATCTTGGGCTCTCCTTGATGGCCTTGGTGCTGTGTTAGTCTGGGGGTTATCTTTTCCTGCCCAGCTGTTTTTTAAACAAGTTCACTGTTTGTCAGTATTTAACCTTGTGGAGCTCCAGCTCCATGGAGTGTCCCAGTTGTGTCAGGAGTACATAGATGTGATCAGTTCTCAAAGCTACACAAAGAGTGCTTGGTCCTGTTGCCTCTTCCTTGGTGTGAAACTCTCCCCGTTGTCTCTACACCTCCTCCAGAGGTGATGTAGAGAATTCCAGCCTCTGGGTTAGCAGACACAGTACTGGAAAACAATCATAGAATCATAGAATAGTTAGGGTTGGAAGGGACCTTAAGATCATCTAGTTCCAACCCCCCTGCCATGAGCAGGGACACCACACACAATGAGTTTGTATTTCCTGGGAACCCCTCGTGTTTAGGGATCATTATTTAGACTTTGAGAACAAATAAAGGTCAGACCCCCTCAGAGCTGCAGTTGCCTGCCCTGTCCCGTTCCCACCTCCAGTGTGTCTGAGCACACGTACAGCAGTTCCTGTCCCGTGATCAGACACTGTTTGTATCTCGAGGCCCTGGCTCCATTGAATGCCCATTATTAGACAAGAGGCTGTGTTCTTACTTGGTGTTTATGCTGTAATTCACTCGAAAACAAAGTCCCTGCTGCTTGAGGGGGTTCTGCAGAGGTGTGTGCAGATGAAGCCGGGCTCACCTCACTGCTGCACGCCCAGCGCTGGCCCCGCACTGGCACTGGCTTCACTTGAGCCTGATCCAGGGCTGTCCCATCACTGTGACATCCACCCTGTTCTGCATGCAGGCACTCAGCTGCTCCTGCCCAGTGCCAGTCCCATGTGTGAGCTGGGGGCGTTTTCAGGTCCTGTATGGAAGGATTAAATGCAGAGCTCTGGTGTTCTATTTCCAGGGCAGTCCTTCCTAAACGCATATGGCTATGGGATATTTTCCATTCACATCCTTGAACACTGGCCCTGTTCAAGGCCAGGTTGGACACAGGGGCTTGGAGCAACCTGCTCTAGTGGAAGGTGTCCCTGCCCGTGGCAGGGGTTGGAGCTGGAGGAGCTTTGAGGGCCCTTCCAACACAAACCAGGCTGGGGTTCTATGATCCTGCTTTGAAGACCGATCTCCCTCCTCCCTTGCTGTATCTAGGATCTAAACACTTCCATAGAAGCACAGAGTCGTCAGTGGGCAGAGACGGGAGAAGTGAGCTCCAGAGGTAGTCTGGCACATGGCCTTAGAGGCAGAAAGAGACCTTTGTTTTGTAGTGCCAGCTTCCCACCTTTCACAGTGCTGAGGTGTTTGACAATGGGTCTTTGTTTTAGTCTGAAGAAGATTTCCTTGAAAGGAGGAGGGAAGTGGAAAGGCTCCTGAAGAAGAATGCGGACTGGATTTGGGATTGGTCCAGCAGGCCGGAGAACATCCCCCCAAAGTGAGTGCTCTGTGTCAGCTCAGATGCAGCTTTTCCTTCCACCGATCTAAACACACATCCCTTAATGCTGTCACTGTTTCCTTCCTCTAACCAGGGAGTTCCTTTTCAAGCACCCCAGGCGCACGGCCACCCTGAGCATGAGGAACACCAGTGTGATGAAGAAAGGGGGCATATTCTCAGCAGAATTCCTGAAGGTTTTCCTCCCATCTCTGCTGCTTTCCCACTTGCTCGCCATCGGACTGGGGTCAGTGGTACATTGTATTTTTGCCTGTTTTTTCCTGAGGCCCAATTCTGACCCCCGATTCTCTCTGTCTAAAGATGACGGATAAACCCTTCTCCGTAGAAGCCAAGGGTGGGCACAGAGTCCCAGTCACTTGATTTGCCCACTTGATTATAGCTTCTGCTGGGAATGGTGGGACTTGTATCCTGATGGGCAAGGGTGTTCCTGACGTGCTGTATGTTCCTCACTGACCATGTGCCCTCCCTCCTCAGGGTGTACATCGGGCGGCGCCTGACGACCACAGCTTCCAGCAGCGCGTTTTAGAGGCACCTCAAGCCTGGTTTTGGAGCAGAGCCTGGGAAATGGGAGGGAAGGGCAGGAATGTCGAGTGAGCTGTGACTCCATGACCCGTGTGCACCCGTTCTGCTGTGTTAGTGAGAGGAGAACAGGGACACGGTGCCGACATCTCCTGCAGCCATTCCCAGAGCATGTTCCGATGCGTTCACGTCTGTTGTGTTGCTTTGTAGTGAAGTATCTTTGCAAATCAGAACAACTCCGCGTTTAAAGCCAGCCCTGCGCCAGTGTAGCTGTAGTGATTCTGAGTGTCCATCCCCTGGCTGCTTCTGTGCTTCGTCCATGTGAGTGTTGGTCACCGCTGCTGCCATCGCGACAATAAGGGATGAGCCCCACACGGTGCGTGGGGAAGCTTCAGTCTCACTCGAGGCAGGTCGTGGGGGGCTCTTTCACTCGGGGGTGTGAGTAGCGGGGGGACACTGTCAGCCGGGAGCGCTTCCCCCCTGAGTAAAGCTCCTCCAGTTTTTACTGGTGAGTTGGGCGCACAACAGCCCGAGTTACAATGTGGACTCTAGTGCCTAATAAGTAGCTGCTTTGCAAAGGCATTGATCTAACCCCCCAGCTACTAGAAGTTCTGTTGTATCTACTCACAGGCCGCTGCTTCTCAGCCTTTTTATCTGTAAAATACTAAATTAGCAGCTGATACTGCCCCATCCTTGTATAGATTTCAGGGGGTTGCTTGCTCAGTGTTTTTACCGATGGAATGCCTTCCAGTGATTTTACCTTATTTAATGAGACGATGAATGTTTGCCAAATACCATGTTTTATATATTTAAATAAAAAGGTTCCTCGTGGCCTCGGTTCTCTCATTCCTTTTTCTCTGGTGAGTGTTGGAGGTGGCTCCGGCGGCTCTTTGTCTGCAAACAAGAGTCTCTCACTGGTTACTGCTGTGACTGGCAACTAAGAAGTTTCTCTAGAAAACAAGTTCACTGCTGCTGCTTGAACTGGAATGTGGCTGAGATGATGCAGAAGTCACTCAGTGAATGGGAACTCACTGAACTCACACATGTGTGTCCTGCCCTGGTCATAAGTTTAAATAAACTTGCTTTCTACTCTGGTTTTTGTCTTTATTCAGCAGAACTGACTCCTCCTTCTGTGCTCCACCCCAGGGAGCCCATGTCCTACTGCTGCGGGTGCTACATGCAGGGGAGTCAATCTTGTTCCCTCTCTCATGGGAGTTTCATCACACACCTTTTAGAGGAGGGGCAGGATCCGGGTGGGGGTTTCTTTACTGTTTGTTTGTGCAATGAAATGGGTTTATAGAATTATCTTTATTTCTGAATAATAGCTCCCAGATGTGAAATCATCAAATCACAAGAGGGGCAGCCACAGCTTCTCTGGGCACCCTGTGCCAGCGCCTCAGCACCCTCGCAGGGAAGAGCTTCTGCCTCAGAGCTCATCTCAGTCTCCCCTCTGGCAGGTTCAAGCCATTCCCCTTGTCGTGTCCCTACAGGCCCTTGTCCAAAGCCCCTCTCCAGGTTTAGGTATGAAATCAGACACACTTCTCAATCTGACTCAGTTGGAGCCGAACCTCAGAGTTTCACCAAAATGGTATTAAAAATGTTTTGTAAATTGTAAAAAAGTTTTTGTAAATGCAGATTTACAATTAGATCAGCTGCTCCCCCCCTTTGAACCAATAAGAGTCTGGGGTGGTTTTTATACCACTGCCTCCAAATGAATAGTGCTGCACTCCCAGCCACTACCCCACAGCTCACCCCGTCCCTGGGGTCACAGCAGACCGAGGGCTGGGCTGTGCCCCCAGCCTGTGCTCACAGCTGTGGTTCAGAGGTCCAAGGGCCCCAGCGCTGTCCTGTACCTGTGTTGGGTGCTCTTGTGTTCAGGGCCAGAGGGGCCGTGCGGGACGGTCCCTGTGCTCAGTCCATCACTGGTGGTTAAACAGAACCACAGACGCTGGCAAAGGCATCTCAGACTCCCACCAAGGGAATACTCCCCGTGATGCTTCTGCTGTGACCGGAGGAAGCGCCTCGGTTCCTTGTCCTGTTCTTGCTCCTTTCAAAGACAAAAGCAAAGAGACCAGGGCAGGACCGAGCACCCGGACAGACCCCAATGAGTGTCCCACCAGCAGCTGGGACCGAGTGCTCACAATGGAAGTGGGTCAGAAGCCAACACCCTCAGGGTTACAGCCCCCTCCGTGGGTGCACAGCTCCAGCCCCAGGCACCATGGCACTATGGATTCATCACAGACAGACCGACCACCACTGGCCTCAGCACCCGCCCAGGCCTGGCCTCACTCCCCCAGGAACACGGTGATGGATCCACCCCTCTTGCTCCGCATAGCCCAGTGCCAGGATCCCCCCATCACCCCACAAGACCCTCCCTCTCCCGTGAGTCACCACTGAGGCCAGTGCCCATGTGAGCAGCCCAAAGCTGAACCAGCCCCAGAGCTCAAGGGCTGTTTGGGGCAAATACCTGTAAAAACAATGATGTTAGGATCTGCAATAAAATCTGGGTTTAGATAAAATGAAGTAAGCGTCACGAATTGACAAAAACTATTTAACTGGAAGTGGCAGAAGGAAACCATGTTCTATATAATAGAAGATTTCATCATTTTCTTTTTACTCATATTCCACTTAATTTACTGAAAACAGTAGACTGAAACCAGAGAGCACTAACACAGCCACTGCGTGTGGACAGAGAGAGACAGGACCGCGCAAAACCCCTTTGGACTGGTAGATCCACCAACCCTCACGAGGCTCCCCCACAGGGAAAGTTTTCCAAATAA